TTGTGAATGAAAGGGAAGGAGAAATACGTAACAGTGGGGTGGAAGGTAAGGCTATGGGAAGCTTGAGATTCTAGTTCTGCCCCTCTGTCCTTGGTGACAGGCAGATTGTTTCATTATGCCGGAATAGCAGAGGTGAGACAATCAAGGTTTCCTAAGAAAAGACTTTCCAGTTTCACTGCAGGAAAAGATAAGTTTTGCATTTGGAACATCTGAGAGCATCTGAAGTGTTGTCTCATTAAAATTTATGATCAGAATTAATTCACATTCTTTTCGTTAAGAAGCGAATCACCTGGGTTGAAGTTGTGTGGGGAATCATAAAAAAGGATAATGAGAAATGACAGCAGGTCTGCAGAGTGGCCAGTGAGGACCACTTATAGGTCTGATCTTTCTCTTTTTCATTCTTTGACTTTCCATTTGGTGTTTGGAAATTATTTGGTGTTGGGGAGTCAAGGTCATTAGTTGGCACTTGTATATGATATGAAATAAGTAGAATCCTTTTCAAAATTACTTGGGTTAAAGGACTGAAAGGGTTTTAAATGAGATCCAAATAGGTTTATGGCAATAAAATAAGTAAATAAATAAGGATGCCACAAGAAAAGAAGAATTTTGCTTGTAGAGAAAATTCTGTGCCTGGCAGTGTGCTCAATTGACTTAATGGTGCTCTCAGTTAGAATGCCTGAGCTTGGGATAATTTACCCACAAATTTGCTGAAACTCTCCATTTCCTTTGCTCATCATCTCGCAAGAAACCAGATTCTGCTGTCAGGCTCCTCATCACCCGTATTCTCCACCTCCTCTTGGTTGCAGAATGCTATGACATCTCTCATGCCTCTCGTCTGTGCAGGTAATTCCCAGTTGCGGTTGCTGACATCTCTTGCCAGTACAAGTCATGGTGTTCCTTGGACTTTCCACTTTCCTTCTAACTGAATTGCTACCAGAAAGTTTATTTCTTCTCTGTCACTTCAACCACCTTCCTCTAACCTCCATGAGTTCTAATCCTAGAACTGCCCCTCATTTGGAGGTCCTTTATAGGCAGATGAATATTTCTAGGATATACCATCCTCATCTAGAGAACTGAAGGCTGAGTATTGCTAAAATCTCATTTCAGAATGAGGGTTTTTGGACTTTGAGTTTATGAACCTGTGCCTCCTGAACATTGATGGTGGTGAGCTTTCACAGGCACAGAGGTAGAATTAAAACTGAGAGCCTGCAAGCTTTATCTCACTGTTCTGTTTTCTGTCCACTCTCTTTATTCCAAATGAGGCTATATGCTGACTGCTTTATTAAAAAATTTAATTCTTGACAAAGGCTGCTACTTTATACATCAATACTTCCTTCCCCTCGGGATTGCCAAAGAGGCACTGGGAAATGAGACATAATTCCTTCCTCTCTGCCAGCCCCTTGGGGCCAGCAAGTGGTTCTCAAATCCCATGGCGCCTGGGCCACCTCAAGGCAGTTCAGTACATCCTGGGACTATCAGGGCACAAATGCAAGCTTTGCCTAAAACAGCCTCTCTGTGGTTCTGCTGGGCCTCCAGGCTTCTCATTCTCTCTCTGGTGATGGTGTCCATTTTAGAGCTGAAAGGAAAAAGAGATTTCAGCTGGTTCCTTTTTCACTGTGTGACACTTACTGAAATGCTCAAGCCCTTGGGCACTCGACAAGCCGTTTTCCTCTAGTACTTGCATTACTGCTCTTTGCAATGGAAATTCCTGTTTCAGTTTCCTATGCAGCCATTTCTAAGTCACCAGAGAGTTGGGACTTAAGCATAAGCCTAAGCTTTTAGAATATAGAGAAGGGAAGAGAGCAGAGAAGAAACAGACAAGTTGAATGCTGGACAGGTTTAGTCCCACTGAATTGCATGATTGTTAAAATTGCATCCCCGCTGTCCAGGTCGATTTCACTTCAGTGACTCTGAGCAGAAATCCTGGTTGTGATATACAAAATAAACAATTAAGCAAGCAATCCTTTTATGTTAAAACCTTACCATATAGAAAAATGTACTCCTAGCTCTTGAGGGGAGTGGCGACACTGTAAGCTCTGATGACTTTTCGGGTAGTTCTGTCATATTCTGTGATTTGCTTGTGCTCTTACAAAATAAAAGGGAATGAGGTTATTTATGGAGTATGTCACAGTAAAATTTTAAAGTGATTGTCCCTGGGCTGAAGGGATTTTCTGTGACCACAACCAATTTTCCTAAAATCTGTATTAATACTGTCACACCCAAATGGCAACATTTTGGGTGGTTAGGGCTCATTTGCAGCTCAAGGGCAGGCTTAGTTAGCAGCTACCAACTAAATGTAGTAATAATAACAGTATATGTTGACTGACTGTTTGCTCCCTGCCATGCCCTTGGATTAAGCATTTTACATGGAATAGTTGGTTTAACCCTCACAGACCTCCCTAAATGGTAGTACTTTTTATTCCCATTTTACAGATGAGGAAACTAAGTCAGAGAGAAAAAATAACTTGTCCAGCTTGCAAAAGATAGCATCAGGATTTGACCTCAGGAGGCTTGATTGCACAAGTTAACAATTAAGGACACGCTCTTTTCAGAGGCCCTATTTAATCATCTTTTGTTTGTCATTTCCTCTCCTATTTGATATTTTCCACATTCACTAAACATCTTCCAGAATTCAGGTTTTAAAGGAATAAACGATATCCTGAAGTGATGATGAGTGAGCACCAGTTTTGCTTCTGAGTGCATCTAACTTACCCAGGAAGAAGGAAATGCTGGCTCAGTATGTGAAGAAGCAGAAAAATGAGCCTAGGGGCCACAACAGTTCCTGGGGTAAAGCTTTAGCTCTGGACAAATTAATTCTGTTCAGAAAGGAAAGAAAAAGTCAGTGTAAAGAAACCACCTTTTGATGTAACTGTCCATAATGGCAGTGGTTGGGGTCCCTTGGCCAGGCAAGCAGAGGAGAAGCAACGGAAAAGGATGGACTCTGGAGCCCATCTGTCTGGACTCAAAGCCCAGCCCCACCACCGTCCTAACCACTGATTCTGGACAGATTCCCTGCTGCCTCTCTCTGACCCTGCGTCCTTACCTGTAAAAGAAAGATAACAGTATTTAACTGTATAGGACTCATGGGGGTTAGATAAGCTCATGTATATAAAGCCTTAAAATAGCATCTGGCATGTAGTAAGTACCATTGGATGTTTGCCTTCTATCATCACCGTCATTCTCATGAGGAGCTCAAACGTTTGCATGACAAAGTCATCCACAGTGGTTTATATTTAGACATTCCTTGAATTTTCATATAGGAAAAGGAGAAGCAAGATCACATTTATTCTAGGCAAACTTTGCTACGAATAAAGTGATTCATAGATCACCTAGATTTATTTTGGTTTTAGAATTTGAGTGGTAATCTGTGAGTCAATCAACTAATATGTTGCCAAGACTCAATCTGAAGGTGGAATTTTGCTCCCAGCAAAAGGAGATGTAGCATCGAAACTGAACAATTATCAAACTGAGACAGAATGATCACTCTCTTGAAAATCTGAAGATGGAAGTGGCAAAACATGGAAGGTAATCTTGCCTACAAAGTCCAAGTGATTAGGAAAACTGGGGTTTGGAGTTTGATGGTACAATTTCTTTGGGGATAATGTTGGTAGAGGTAAACTATAGCTCATAGATCACACTTCTGATAAATTGCCACGTTTATATCTTCATTCCTGCTTTCTTCAGAGTCATAGAGGATACTCTGTGACACCCTTTGAGGGCATCCAAGGGGGTGAGAGAGGGTTTATTCCTTCAAAGTACTTTGGTAGAACTCTGCCAGCTCACCAATGGGGGAAACCTGGCAAAATTCCAAAGGTGATTAGTGTTGTATCTGTTTCACAAGGTGCAGTGTGTTTGGGTGGATGGAGGGGGAAGCCTATAATTTCATAGCTGTTAGAAGAACATTTTTACCGAATCTCTTTGTATTCTAAAAATTGGTTCAAGATGATATGTGGGCATTGCACTGTCCCCAGAATAGAAGGCACACACAGTTATTACTAAATCTCAACGGTGTGAGTGGGAAACTGTAAATACTTGTTCCAAAATATCGATTACCATTTTTGTATAATTCTTCTGAGATTTAGATTGTCCTTTTAATTATTTGAACCTGAAAATTGTCCCCATAAATATAAAATCAGAGCTGTAAACCTAACCTAGGCAAGTTCAGTGAAAGTACTGCATTTTAAAATCACACCACCACTGTCTTGTTTAGGAAGAACAGGACTGGGGCTCGATCAAATGTTGAGTTAATCAGCTGTTTCAATACCCGTAGTCATCTTGCTTCCTGTCAGGTGTAAGCCTTCTTGTATTTTATATGTTCTTTGAATTACATTCTGAACAACTACCATGTAAACAAATGAAAACAACAATCACGCCATGCTTTTTTGTTGTCATGGTCATTTTCATCAACTGCTTAGGAATTTCACTGTGCTTATGCAATTAGGGGAAGAAGCTCCACCCGAGCCTCCATGGGTCAGCTATGTGGACTCTAGCTGCCAAAGGCGCTTCTCCTTCTGAACAGAGCGCTTTGCTCAGCCAGTGTAGACATGGCCTGATAAACAATGGAACTTCTCCCTTGAGAGCTGGAGTTTGGATTGACCTAATTGCTTAACTCAAAAATGTACACAGGTTTGATGAGTGGTCAAAATGCCTGCATTTTAGTAAAACAGGAGCTTAAATTGACAATAACGTGAAGAATAGCATAATTTATAATGAACTGGACAGGCAGTAGTATTCACTATTGCTCACCGTAATCAAGGGACTATCAAATTCAGGTTTTAACATGAGCTTAAATATCGGTAGCAGAGAGGCTGTTCTTGCAGGTTTATATCTGTCAGGTCTTAACACCAAACCTGTCAGAGTGCAACACGGCCGTGTCACTTTTAACCAAGATGGCACATACATTTGGTAAACAACTGCTTTGTGTTTTCTTCTCTAGGATTTTACTGGGAAAAGCAAACGTAAAGGATTTTTTTTTTTAACACTGCATTTTTATCTTGCAGATTCTCAGGCTGATGGACTGAGTGACGGAGTGGGTTGCCAACTGTAGTTACTCCACTCAGCGCAGAATGGCTGCAGGGAATATATTCAGACATGCCTAAAGAAGTCTGCCCAGGGTGAAACAAATACCATTAAGGTTTAAATCAGGTGTGTGCCGAATGCTGAGAACCGGACTTTTGCTGTTTGGTTTGTGTATTTGTATTTATTTGTCCAGGCAAGTGGGAAGGTTGTCTGTTTTCACAACTCTTTTAATGCTGTGAAATATACCTGGAACTTTAACTAACCCACCCTCTCTCCTAGGATTTGATATGCTCTACCATGGAATGTCCTCTATTTTATTGAAACTTTAGATTTTAAAGGCTAAATATATTTCCCATATTCAAAAGGGTTTTGATTCTGGAGATATTTTAAAATGGGGAATTGACATTTGATAGGCTCTTTACCACTTGTATATCTCCTTAGACAAACAAATTTTGCTTGTAATATGAGAGAGCTGCAAGCTACCTAAAAAAATTACTTTAAGATTATTTTTAAAAATACATGTCCACATTATCTTTAAAAAGTTGTTAAATGGTTCAGAAAAGCCAAAGAAAGGTAACATTTTTTAGAAAATGTAAACCACATTTCCTTATAGGGTGAAGTTGTGTTAATAGCCTCTGTTTAATTCATTCAGAAACGACACCATTTTTGTCGCTATATTTTGTTAGAAAGAAAAGAGAGGCTGTTTCTACAGGTGTCGTACAAAAATCAATACTGAGCCATGGATTATTGGATCCTATAGGACCATGGAGACTCGGCAGTGAAATTTTTTTCAAAGGTGAGTAGGGGCATTGATTTTCCTTCTTACGCCTGAAGAAATATGACACAAAGAACGGAGGCTAAATTTAGAACAGAAACAAGTCTGATTTTGACACTATGCCCTTAAAGAAATGAGTGACACTTTTTCTGAAATAGTTAAATGAGGCAATCAAGTGAGAATTTGAGCATATAAATTTTTCTCATTTTTTTCCTAAGATTCGCTCTTCTGTATTCCTTCGGAAACTTTTGAACAAAAAGCGACAATTTGGCCAACATTTACCTGTAACTCAGATCCAGTGATTTCCTTGTGGAATACTTGTGGTGTACAATATAAAACAGTCTCTCTGTAACAAAGAATCCCATAGTCCTTCGGCATCTAAGAAAAAGTCCATCAGTCATGCAGTCACACTTACACATATGAGCCCATCGCTAATCTTCCTTTTTTAAACTGTTTTTCCAGATAATCTGTGCCATTTATAATAATTTTTAGACACACACTTGCTTATTTGTTTACTTATTTTACAGTTTCTTCTAGATTTGACAGAGTTGAAAAGCTCTACATAATGCATTGGTGTTTTACTGCATTGCTTAGCATTCCATCCGTGCAGGCAGACGGTGTTCTTAGGTTTGGAAGGATAAATCCCAGTGGAAGTGAGCCGAAGGACATTTTATGCATCGCTCATCCTATTATGAGCCCTGTGCTGTTTCATTCCTCTAAAGGTAAGAGATTTATTATGAGTTGGCTTCCCGCAGTAGAAAATGATGTGTGCTCATGGCTCTTGCTTCAAGGTGTATGTTTTTGGAACTCATAACAGGGAGTATAGAAATCATTTTATAAGCAAAAGAATAATTGGAATAATTTAAATTACTCACACATTCTTTAGTCTGCTCAACTGTCCCCAGGTAGCATTTGGTTGTTCTACCCTGGGACCCACATTCGCTAGTATTGTCTTCCTCATGTGAAGTGAGGTGGTAAATTGGTCATTTTTATAATGAATTTGAGCAGAATAGATGATCAAGGAAGGTAATTCAAGACTCAAAGTAGAAAACTGCCAAATCACCATTTTGCTGTGTCTGAAGGTAATTATCATCTGAGTTTTAAAACTTTGTGGGATGAGAAATAAGGAAGTTAAAATATAAAAAGGTAGCAAGTTCATGGTAATGCATAGAATTACCTTAGCAATTAATTCTTTCTTTTTGCTGTCCAGTGGAAAACTCTTAATTCTTTATTCCTTATCCTGAACTTTCAGACCAGCTGAAACAGCAACAACAAAAATTGTTTGTGATTTGTGTTTGGACTTTGGACCACCTAGTTAATGCCCCAACTCTGATTATATAGAGAAACGATATTCTATAAGAAAGACCGTCTTTTATTAATTTAAAAAAAACAGAGAAAATGTAACATTCTGGATGTCTCATCTGACAAGGTAAGATTTTATCATGTCCCATAAGATGAGAGTACATTTAATTTTATTTGTCATTACCCCAGCCCAAAAACTGTTTGCACTTAAAAATTTGACACAGAAACCCATAGTCAAAATATATATTGTCTAAACTGTGATCAATTTGAGGCATTTACAGCCAGGTTATTTAGTGTATTTTATTTACATATAAATGACATTATTTTTACTGCTTTTCTGTCCTTTCCAACTTCAAAAATTATGACTCAGTGTATCATGCAACATATTTAAATAAAAATAAATTATGTATATTATGATAGTTGTGGGTGAAAAAGGCATACTATTTTGTAAACTTTGATGAGGTTTAACTTTTTGTGAATTCTTAAATGTGAACAAACCAAAGACAGGCACATTTTGAAGTGTTCGAAAGTTAAAATGGAACATAGAGATTGTGTGGTAAGTGGAAGCCTTATGTTTATTGCTGGGATAATGTAATATCTGCATGAGAAAATAAAAGTACAAATGACAGTGGAGGGATGATAGAGGAGCTGGACACACAGAAAGTCCCAGATGTCTGTAGATGCAATATGTGGACACTCAAATATCTAGCCCTCTTTATTTGGTACCAATACTACAACCCATCGAAGTGATCAGGTGCTCTCTTTGTAGGCCCAAAATACTAGTGTTTTTGACACCACTGCCCTTTATGTTTATACCATGTTACTCCCACGATATATAACATATATTTAAGTCATGTCTGAGCAACATGACAGTAGCCATTATCTCTTTGGGTTAAGCTCATCGTGTAACTTTTCCTAAAATGTTTCGAAGATGAATTTCCACTGGGCCATTTGAAGTTTGAAAAATATCATGAATTTTTCAGGGGGACAGTGGCAATTAATGAAGCCTGATTATCTTCAGTGTGAAAGTAGTCTGGGATGCCACCTTTGGAGAGCCAATGTCTTTGACTTATTAGCATTTTCTTTGCTTGTTTTGTTGTCATCCTTTGGGTTCGCTCTGGACCCATCTCTCTCGTTCCCCTTTGCCTCCTCTATTGTATCTCAGTTACAGTTAAAGAACAGGAACAGAGCAGTAAAACCGCGGCTACATTTTTCCAGTGCCACCAGCTGGGAGTTAAGCTGACTCACATTTTGAAAGCCCTGCCCATTTCCTTCACAGCAGGTGTGGCAGGTAAAGCATTTCTGTATTAAAGTACACACTTTTTATTTCTTCAGGTTCTTGGTCTAATTCTCTTATTTGCCAGTTGGGGGGAGAAATGAAAGTAGGTTGGGGACCAAATGCCTGGGGTATTTAATCAAATGTCCAGCAACTCTTGATTATAGGATGTAGAAATTTCACTTTTGAGGATTAACTGTGGTGGATGTTGTCAACCCAAATGCATGTCCCCTCTGCCCAGCATGTTAGTGGGCTACTTCTGACCACTGCCTAACTACCATGCAGCAGAGGAATTCCAATAGTTTTGAGAACTCCTGGGTAAGCAGAAACTGAATTCACTGGGTGAAAACTCCCATTAAATCTAAGTATTTGTGAAGTTTTCCAAACAGTACATTTTACATTGTTTGCTTCTATTAGAAAAAGAAATTGAGGATTGATTTCACTGTGTTCTGTTAATTTGATTACTATTTTTAAGTGGTAAGTATAAACCTCCTTAATATTTTATGACACTTACTTAAGCAACTGTCCTGAAGCACATCACTACATTGACCCTTGACCTTTGACCTGTCACTCTGCCACATTGGCTGCCTCTTTCTCACGTTGTTGAAGATGAGAGCTTAGGGAGCAGAAGTGAAGAAAAGCATTAGGCCTTCTCTGAGCAGCTGCAGGCTGTGGAATTGTCTCCTTGGACGGGATTTTCTTGTAGGCGGTGAAGTTGGGGTGAATAGTATCAGTTTGCATTCATACTGAACATATTTTTCAGGAACCTTAAGAGCACTATACAAGAGTCATCTGGGGGGATGAGTGTAATATACAGTTAAGGTGGGAGTTCTGAGGTGTGTCAAAGTATCATGATAATATCGTAGCTCATTTTATAAATAAATCAAAATATTCCTCAGTTAGGGCCTACATGCCATATATTGAAATAAATTTTACAAAGCCTCTTTTCTCACTGGAGTTAGATCCTCTACATGCCCCATCTTATCATGAGTATATAACCCTACTTTGCTTTGTTTTATGTTCTATGACTAATCCTATGGATATTTCTTATCAGACTGGAGCATAAGTTAATAGAGGGTGCAATGGGAAAATAAAATAACATTTTCTATGAAGTTTTAGCAAAAAAGGAGATAGATGTGTGTGTGTGTGTGTGTGTGTGTGTGTGTGTGTGTGTGTATGCATATGTACGGGTGTGTGAATGATATATATGAATGAATGGATTCACATGCATTCTTCTGAATGCATATGAATGAATAAAATCAGTGGATGCTCACACCATGAGTATACCTGGAATCTTTTCAAAAGTGTGAGGTCCCTTCCATTTTAGCCATCAGACAAATTCTTTGGCCCATTTGCTTCAAGATGACAAGGATTTTCTATTTATAAATGTCCCTTCGGGTCCATGAGGAATCTCTGATACTCATTTATTTCTAAGGAAAGGTTCAGGATCAGTAATTTCCAGATACTTCGAGGTCACCGTGTACTCTGCCTGATGAAAAAGACATCATGGGCAGATTCTTCCCATGGCTGACACGCTCCCCTCCAGGGCACCTCGGTGCGCCGACCAGCCTCCTGGTGGTCCACTCGCAGGAGAGCTCACATTTGTTTAGTTCATGCTTTCTGCTTTCAAAATCCTTTTCCAGGATAGTCATGGTCAGGAACAAGGGGTAAGATGGTTTTTTTTGTGTTTCTCTTTCTAATTTGTTAAATGAAAAATGCCAGAGAAAAAAATGTCTTTCTTTTGTTGTGGGTTCAAGTAATTGAATGAAATGT